AACACGTTTCACGAGGAGCAAATAAAAACTTGAAAGAAAGCGAGAAGTAAAATTGTGATGTAATTATAGATTACAATAAGAAAGTGAATTGTCTTTTGTTGCCCCGCCGCGGTGGTCTAGTGGCTAAGATACTCGACTGCTGACCCGCAGGTCGCGGGTTCAATTCCCGGCTGCGGCGGCTGCATTTCCGATGGAGGCGGAAATGTTGTAGGCCCATGTGCTCAGATTTGGGCGCTCGTTAAAGAGCCCCAGGTGGTCGAAATTTCCGGAGCCCTCCACTACGGCGTTTCTCATAATCATATGGTGGTTTTGGGACGTTAAACCCTACAAATCAATCAAATTGTCTTTTGTTGGGAGGAGAGTAGATATCCATCATGTTAGCGCATGCCTGTACGGGGGCGTTTGTGTGTGTGTAAAATAGAATGAATCGCTTACGGACGTGTCGTAACTGAAGATCTCACTAAATTGGATTTCTCACGAGCAAAAAATGTGTTTATTATTATTTTTTTGAAATAGGAGATATACAGAATAATCTTTTATTTTGAACAAGCGCTTTGGCACCCAAGGTGAGCGGACTCCTTAATACAGGTAGCCTCAGGCCTTGAACGAAAAAAAAAATGAAAACTTGATAAGGAACGACAAGCAAAGTAAAATGTAACTTTTCTGCTGTTGCCCGCCCGATTGCACTGGCTAGTTGCTTGGGCAAAGTGATGGAGAGGATGGTACTTGGACGGCTAGAATGGTTCCTGGAGCATCACAACATCTACCCGGACGCTATGACGGGATTTCGCCGTGGCCGGTCGTCAATTGATAGCGTCATAGACCTGGTCAGCTACGTGCAACACGAAAAAGGCCGTAAGCGTCTCTGCGCTTCTTCATTTCTTGATGTTAAAGGGGCGTACGATAACGTCACACATGAAGCTGTCCTCACCGCTCTCAAGGAGGTAGGAGTGGGTGGTCGGATGTTTCAGTGGCTACGCAGCTATCTCTCTGAGCGATCCTTTTTCGTGAGAACCGAGGATGGTGACACTTCGCTACATTACAGCCACCGTGGTGTTCCCCAGGGTGGCATACTTAGCCCTGTACTATTCAACCTGACGCTAATAGCTCTCAATGAGCATCTGTCAAGTACTGTCAGATTGTCAATGTACGCGGACGATATCTGCGTTTGGACGTCTGCAGTAACACGTCTACAGCTGCGAGCGCGAATTCAGAGAGCTACCACTCAAGTTGCTATTTACCTCCGTCAACGAGGTCTGGAAATTTCCTCTGAGAAATGTGCACTAGTGGCATTTACGCGCAAACCAATGCATAACTACAGCGTTCTGATAAACAGCGAAAGAATACGTCACCTCCGATCATACAAGTTCCTAGGTGTTATAATTGACAGAGACCTCTCATGGAGCTCACATGTATCATACATGAAAAGGCGATTAACAGGCATCTGTCATTTGTTCAAGTTCTTCGCTGGAAAGAACTGGGGAATGTCCACAACTGCTATGTTGCGACCATACAGGATTCTTTTCCTTGGATTCCTTCGGTACAGCCTACCTGTGTTAGCCAACGCAAGTAAAACAAGCATACGAATGCTTCAAAGTGTCCAGGCTCAAGCACTCCGGATATGTTTAGGCTTGCCCCAAAGTGCGTCAACAGCGGCAACTATCGCCATCACAAGGGACAACCTCATCAAGACCCACATTAATGTGGAAGTGCTGAGGACACATATACGACACCTTGCTCGAACCCCTCGACATCACCTAGCCTCTCTACCAGTGGTCCGACCATGCACATCTTACTGCAAAACAGTGACCGCACATGGTGAGTCGATCCCAACTTCGTTCTCTCCTGCCGCTAGACCTGTGACTCCGCCATGGTGCCTCGCTCAACCAATGATTAATATTAACATACCTGGCGTCCAGAAAAAGGCTAATTTGTCGTCACCGGCTCTTAAACAGCTCACACTACTTCTCTTGTATGAGAAATATCAAGACTCCACACATATCTACACTGACGGATCGGTTCAGCCGGACAGCTTTACAGGAGCAGTAGTGATACCAAGGTTGGCCACGACAATTAAATTCAAGACATCTCACGCAACAACATCAACGGCAGCAGAATTGGCAGCACTTCGTGCCGCGTTGCAATTTGTAGTTGATCAACCTACACGCAAGTGGACTATTTTCTGCGACTCGAAGGCGGCACTGCAGTCTCTACTATCAGCCTTACGCCGTGGACCACACGAGCAGCTGGTACTAGAGATAGCAGATGTTATACACCACCTGACTGAGAAAGGGCACCAAATTACATTTCAGTGGTTGCCCAGTCACTGCGGAATCATCGGCAATGAACGGGCCGATCAAGCTGCCCGCTCAGCCCACACAGAAGATCATAAACTGCGACTACCACTTTCTAGGACAGATGCTGCACGAAAGCTCCGCAGACTTGCTCGCCAGCAAACCACATCGCAATGGAATCAGCCACACTTCAAGCATGCCCGACTGTACTCGCTTGACCCTACGCTAAGTCTTCAAGTCCCGTCGAGGCTTCGCCGAGCAGACCAGACCCTGTTATGTAGGCTGTGGTTGGGCGTTGCGTTTACCAACGCCTACGCTTTCCGCATTGGGATGGCCGACACCGCAGCCTGTGGCCACTGTGGCAAAGAGGAAACCATTCAACATATTCTTTGTGACTGCCTAGCGTATAGTAAACAACGACTATGCCTTCGCAAGGAACTCAACAAATTAGATGATCAACCTCTGTCGGAGCAGGGAATTCTGCAGTATCGTCAGGATGCGACTTCACAGAAGAGGGCCCTGAAAGCGCTACTACACTTTTTGCGATTGACCGGCCTTACTGAACGGTTGTAGCTAGGACGCCCTTCCTGTGTGTGTTTTCGTTGTTTTTTTTTATGAGTGCGCGTGCGTTTTTTTTTCTCTATCTAACCCCTCTTTCTTGCCCCTACTTCCCCGCCCCCAGCGCTGGGTAGCAAACCAGATGCCAATATCTGGTTAACCTCCCGGCCTTTCCATTCTCACTCTCTCTCTCTCTCTTCTGCTGTTGCCCTGATACAGTAACAGGAAGTAAACATCATGAGGATCTATCTTTTTGTTAGACATTACTATTTGAAGCCCAGAGAAAAGGTAGCCAAGAAAACACAGGAGAATGCTTTTGTTCCTGTGCGTCTTTTTATATTGTAATTATGACACCTACAAGTTCTTAGCAATGGCAAATAAATTCCAACATCTTTTCCTTTCATTCATTAGCTGTTCAGCTAGAAGGTGTTTGAAGGCATTACGTTTTGACGACGTGTCCGTTCAAAAAAAAAAAAAAAGGATGAGAGTGGGAACGACGAGTTTTATGCACGTATACGCAGCTATAGATTTCATTAGGCGACTGCTTTATGATTGTATTAGCTGAAGAGAATATTTTTGAACTAACCCACAATAATGAATTTCCCCCTCCCCCTCAAACTAACCAACCAACCGAAACATGAGTTCCGGTTTGAGCAAAGTTAAATAGAATACGCATATCAGTACACAACTTTAGTACACGTATGGACCAAGCAAGTGTTGGAGTTCTTAGTATTCATTGAGAGAGAGAGAGATAAAGATGCAAGGAAAGGCAGGGAGGTTAATCAGACGCACAGCACACTGGTGTCTATAAGCTGGTGTCGTCAAGATGGCACACACATACTACAGAACACTTTTATTGCGCTCATTAGTTTACATATTGAAGTGAACGGTGGTGAACAACTGGTTCAAAGGAATTGTGTGTACGCGGAAGCAGTGCTAGTCGACGATGATCTTCACCTATAGTCTACCCAAACGAACCAAACCTTCGTCAAACACATGGGGCGAGCGTCATTAAAAAAATAAAATGGAACATTAAGGTCGCCTAAAAATTCGAACACGAAAGTGATTCTTGCCAGTGTCAATCAATGCTTCACTGACATCATTTCCGTCCCGGATGTAGCGTCAGTATGAAATGCACAAGAGTGGAGAACACATAAAACGCAAAAGACGAAATTCTATTGATTTACATGGCTTGGAAGTCGAACACACGGTCGTTCTCTCTGTACGTTATGGCTATACGCTCTGCAGGGTGGTCGGCGATGACAGAACCTGAGCGCAGCAGTAACCACTGGCATACCGACGTGCATGCACAAGCCCTAACTAAGCCGCCGTATAGCTTTCGCACTTTCTCTTTGCTACGGCCACCATGGTGAACATCATGTAGAGGGTATTGACTTGGTTCGCATGGCCAACACCTTCTTTTTAGAGGGAAATATTATGGCGTGGTATGGCCGTCGTGGAGAGTTGAAGTACTGCACGCATCGTGTCACTAATTAACACCGGCTGAACGTGCTTTGGTAGTCTCAGTGCACTTGAGGATGACCCCCAATTTACATTCAGTTTCGTTTTAATACATGTCAAGTGCGCTAGTTTGCGTGAGGGTTTTGCTGCAAGGACAGACACGCCAGTGGCAAGCGAAACGACTTCGGCCGTTTAGGGATAGAGGTATGAGTTCTGCCTCTCATGTTCTTTTGTACGTTCCTTTGTGTATACATCTACAGAAGATAAGGTTATCGAATTTCTGGAGAGCACACACATTGCCATTTCTTTCCTCAATTGATGAGGCCCTTCATGAGCGCATATCGAGTACTAGGGTGTCTACTGTGTGCTCATCAATTCCATCTTTGCGCACGATTCCCCATACGCTGTGTTCGAGTTCATGTTTACTTCGTCAAGATTAAGATGTGCCAGTAAGATCAACGTAGATGTGTCTACATCAAAGGGTGCCATAGCCGCCAAACGCAGACATTGTACACGCTCTCGTTTGTCAATGTATAATGAACAATAAAGTACTCTTGTAAAAACAGGTTGGGACCTTCGTCTTAAACAACTTGCTATATTGAAAAAATCAAGTGTGTCTTCTGTTTTCCGTAGCTGTTTCTATATGAACTAAAAACCTCCGCTGGGTTCTTTCCTTGCTTTACGCAGGTAAAGACGCTGAAAATGACGGCGGTGGTGTTCGGCGCGTTCCTCGTGACCAATGTACCGTACATGGTCCAGGAGGTCATCTTAGCCTTTGGCAACCCTGGAATTCTCGACGCCAATGTGGTCGCTCTGTTTGGCGTTATCTCCGCTTCCAACAGTGCCATCAATCCCTACATCTTCCTTTACTTCGAGAAGAGACGGTGCCGTGGTGGTCGGAGTGGCCTTGGCGGACTGCTAAAACGATTGCCCTGCATGGGGAGTCGACCAGGTGGCACCGACAGGGGTGGCCAACAAATGGTCATGCTGTCAGTGCACTACTCAGGCAGACACTCGCGCACCATGACCACCATGAACTGTGAATCTTGCTCATGCTCGGAGAAGACTAATTGCTGATGGCATGGTACCGCGGTTATACTTGTAAAGCCAGCTGGCTGCGTCGTCGTGTAACGATGAGCCTTGCTCAACGTAGTCTTAAACATCGTATCGGTTCACTGGTATTTTTGTGAAACAACGTGACCTGCTCAGTGAATTCCTTTCTAAAGATAAGCGAACGTTAGTGAGTGGTTGTGGGCGTCACTTAAAGGAGGTGTTGTGCATACCTGCTACTGAAGTACTTGCTAACAACTCTGTTTTGTTTGGTTTGGTTTCGGCTTTATTGCTGCGGAGAGGTTGCTGTTGAGGAGAGGTTGAAGAGGTGAACACCATAGCTACTACATTTCTAGTTGTTTTGCAGCATACCTGAAAAGAAAAAAAAAGAACAAGCAAGGAAAAAGAAAATAGCAAACTGAAAAAAAAATATAACCGGAGCATTGACAGTTCTAACGCTCACATGCAGACACTTTTGTCGAAGTTCTTCTCAATTGCGTTCACCGCAAGGGCTTGTATGAAGCAATTCATACTATAAAGTGATTTCTTTTTTGCTGAATGCGTTTTTCAGGTCGCAGTTTAAATTTTTTTTGTAATACGAAAAGACGCTTGTGAAAACTTGCCAGTTTTGACAAAATCAAATTCAAATCTTCCCATAAGTTAATCTGGAGTTTCTACCACCTGCTCTAATAAGTAAGAGATTCTTATAACAGCATTTTTTTTCTGTAAGGCCTATTGTTTGATTCAAGCCTTCATAGGTGTCGATAAGTTATGGGGTGCTGCGCGTCATTCCAGGCTCGAGCCCCTGTGATACAGATTATTCATGTCCAAAAAAATGGGGAGCCAGGCAGAGTTTACCTTTATTTTTTCACTAGCCGAAATCAGGTACATATAGGTACTTACAAACATATGCACTTTTCTAAACACAGCACATTTTACACTTGTGTAGAATGCGCGAGTATCCAGCCTTGTAGGCAAAACTTTCCGGCATTTCCAGACGTCGGTATGGTTGCTCGAAAGATTGCGTGGCCTACTAGACATGCAGACTGGCTATGCACAAGTGTCAACGCCTAGCCCAGCCGCGGTGGTCTAGTGGCTAAGGTACTCGGCTGGTGACCCGCAGGTCGCGGGTTCGAATCCCGACTGTGGCGGCTGCATTTCCAATAGAGGTGGAAATGTTGCAGGCCCGTGTGCTCAGATGTGGGTGCATGTTAAAGAACCCCAGGTGGTCGAAATCTCCGGAGTCCTCCACTACGGCGTCTCTCATAATCATATGGTGGTTTTGGGACGTTAAACTCCCCATATCAATCAATCAAGTGGCAACGCTGAACAATGTCCTTGTTTACCTAAGTGCGCATGCGGCCTCAGGGTGGCTATTAAGAAAATTGCGCTTTCGGACTGATTACACGCTCCAGATTCTTCCACAGAAAATTTTGCACACTTTGCCGCTGTTCAGAGATATGTGGTCACATGATGAACGATGACCTCGTGCAATGCGCACGGCACACAAATCGGAGTTGCTCGTCAACGTCATGCCAGTTTTAAAGTAACGTGCGCAGATGTGCATGTTTGTTAACCGCGCGTGCTGCTTGGCAGACCACGTGTAGTCCGTAATGGCTGAGAGTTACCGCCCCGCAGGAAAACGCCGGCTGCTCGAGCAATCTACGCAGATGGGCGCTGCACCTCACAATATCCTTAAACGTAGTGCCCACGCCGATTCAGACATTTGTTCTTGCGCAGCACTAAACTTGAGGGACCCCTGTTCAAGAATTGGATGGGCTGGTCGGAGAACTACCGTCGGAGTGCTGTTGGCCTCTGTCACACCTGTCCCGTTTATTAGGGAGGCGATCGCCGGGCTAATTCCAAGAGCCGAAGTATCGGCCCCCCGAACCGCACCACGAAAGCGTGGACAATTTAGAAGTGGTCCTTATTGGTGCGCCAGCGGACGCCGGCTGTGGCCCAAAGAACAAGACAGAGCCGAGAGATGATAAACAAACAAAATTATATTCTCGTTAACGGCAGATCAAAAACAATACACACGTATGCACACTCCACAATAGTTACATACAATACGTCACCAAACAGACAATGTACTACACAGTACAATCAACCACACTTGAAACAACGGACACAGACAACAATACGCACTACGATGCAGTCACATGCATTGAACAACCAAGACACTTAAGGACTAAAGAGATAGAAAACCTATTCAGTCCAAAGTCCTTGGAACAAAAGTCTGAATGATACTCTTCCGAGAATCACTCACTCAAAGTCCAGCGTTGTTGTCGTTCCGCAGCTCTCTGAAGTTTCTCTTCCAGGAAACCTCCCGTCTTCAATTGGCCACTCTTCAAACTTCAACTTCTTCGCCCGAACACGTCGGCTTCACACACGCAGCTGTTGCCACGCGTCCTCGCTCAATAGCGGTAAACCCACGCTCTTGCCTGTAGCTCGAGCCGTCCCTACGGACCACAAACTTCGCCGACTACACGGCGGACTCTCTACGCACTCTGGCGCTCACTTCCGTCTCCTCCTGTTCTGTCACTACGGGCAGAACCTTCGCCGACTACACGGCGGAATTCCTACGCGCTCTGGCGTTAACTTCCGTCACCTCCTGCTTTCTCGTCTCGGCCGCTCGATTAAATACCTTCCGCGCCACTTTCCAGAATTTTCTCGTCCTTTCGTCGGCGTGATACGCAGCGAAGGCTGGAGAGAGGCGAGACGGTTTGTCAGCCCTCCGCGTCGGGTGACTCAGCTCGGCGTAGCCACGCCTCCTTCGTTCTGGAAATTTCTAGCGCTTGCCCGGCCGCCGCTGTGGGGTGAGGAGGTTCGTCTGCGAAGCCGTGCTTCTGCGGGGAGAGCGCGCGCCCGGGAGCCTTGGATGTTTGCTTTCTTTTTTTTTTCTTTTTACCTCGCGGCGTTTCTACCGCCCGTTGTCGCAAGGATTTGGCGGCGCGCTCTCTTTTTAGCGCTCGTTCTGTGACACTGCCCCCCACTTTAAGAATATTATCTCATAATATTCAAAACCACACAAACGAGCGCGAAAGTCACCACACACCCTCACAGACTGTAACACCATCAGTCGCTCATAACACTTCACATTCACAATAGATCACGCAATACAATCTTACATTGTAGTTCAATTCCACAACACATGAAATATAGCCACAGGTACATGCCTACAACACTTCATCACACATTCTAAACAATACAAACGTACAAAGTTCTGTCTATCCAACAATTATACAACACTATACATCACACCATCGCACAGAACACTGACTCACTCGACATACACTTGAGACACAGGATAACAAGAACTTTAACACAACATATGTCACTCAGCCCTGCCGAACACATTCTGATTCCACCTCAGCACCTATCTTGAGTACTTCGAACAGCGCTTGCGCCCCTTTTTGCGGTGCTCGCTCGATCTATTCTTGTGTTTCCACGTTCTTTTTCGGCGAGCCCTTTCCCACGACGATATCTGAGGCGTCGTCTCAGCCATCGTTGTCTCTTCCGACACCGTTAACGCGTCATTACCTTCAACGGGTCCTGTCTGTTTATTTACCCGCTTGATAATGCCTCTACCTTTTGCCCGGCTGGCCAACTCCGTCTCCTTTACACTGTCAGTCGGTTGAGGTCGTGCCGACGTACGTCCAGTTGCTCGGCCCGTGAACGTATTCGACACGATCGTCTTCTCCTTCGCTGTCTCTTGCGCCGCAGCTTCACCTTGGGCTCTAGTGAGACCCGTCACGGGATGCTCCTCCACTGTATCTCGCGGCCGCTGTGTTGGCGAGGGCTCTATCTTCGGGTCTTCTCCCAAACATTCTGGATCACTTGGCCCTCGCGCCCCGTCGATGTTTCCGATGACAAGGTCATACAGGGGGGTCGTCATGCATAACGCAGTAACCTTCCCGCTGAAGTACGGGGTTTCAACCTCAATTTCTGCTTCGGGAAGCATCCGGACCGTACGGTCAATTAGGCAAACCGGTCTCGTTCTGCCTGTCAACTCTCTTTCCCGTACCAAATTTCTCCTCACGATAACCGTAGAGCTACCGGTGTCTCTTAGAACCGTAATCTTCTTGCCTGCAATCTTTCCAGGAAGCGTTGGCATTCCCTTCGTAACACCGGTTGGCTGTTTTGACATTACAGCCCCCACAATAGGAATTTTCTCCCCATTCTTCAACTCTACGAATCCATCGGTGACGGCATTATTATCAGATTTCGGTGCCGCTTGCACACAAGATACCTGGTGAGTTTGACTCACTCCGTTCCGACAAGCGTCTGCTTTGTGCCCAGTCTGACCACATTTGAAACATTTTACAACCGTAGGGCTCGTAAAGATCGTTCGACAGTTTTTCGCGCGATGACCCACTCGGTTGCACAGAAAACATCGCGGAATGCTCTCTGGTGCACGCTTCTTTTCTTCGGGAGCCAATTTCTTCGAATCCTCGGGACCCTCCTTCTTGACTTTGGCCAAATTAGTGCCACCTTGCGCTTCCAAGAATTGATCAGCTAATTCAAGCATGTCTTCAAGTGACTTAGCTCTCCTCTCTTTCAAGTACAGCGACAGGCTTGGGTGGCAACTAGTAAGAAATTGTTCTCTAATTAGGAGCTCTCTAAGCTCCTCGTACTCCTGTGCTGTCCCTGAAAGTTCAATCCATCTGTCGAAATAATGGCAAAGTCGGGCGACATACTGCGTAGCTGTCTCACCATCAGCTGGCTTTCCTGTCCGAAATCTGTCCCGGAATCCTTCCACGGTAAATCTAAATCGCTTCAACAAAGCCGCTTTCACCTTTGCGTAGTTGGCTGCATCGGTCGGCGTCAGCCTACCGTACACACTGAGCGCTTCTCCACTCAAGCAGGTACTCAAAGCAGTTGCCCATTGCTGTTCCGGCCAATTCTGGCTCCTCGCAATCGTCTCAAATCTGTGGAGGTACGCGTCTAGGTCGTCCTTCCTTTCATCAAACGCTACGAGCAGCTTGCTTGGGTTCAAGCGGAAGCCGTGATCTTCCCGTTCGCTG